ATATTATGGTGGCGAGACCTTGACATTAACGAGAGAAAAAAGCAGGCGAGGAACAGCTAATAATGCAGCATCAGACTCTGGAATAAAGCATGCCAGGTATTTCCATTAGGCACAAGCTGCAAAATGAAAAAATGAGAAAACGGCAATGAGCAAAATATATTTCACGACGAAAGGAAGATCGATAAACTTAAGCAGTGACGGATTAGTACTCAAGAGCAAAATTGAAAGACCCTAATTCAGATGACGATGTGTCAGAGATGGAAATTCCTTACTACAGATCGCCCAAGTCATATTAGCTTATGTATAGAAAGTTAGCAATGGCAATATCCGTCAATTACGAGGGGCGATCAACCAAGATTTCAGAATATTTAAGCACTGCTCAACTCAGATGTAGTGCGAACATTGATGGATATTTTGAAAACAAGAGTTTGAATCGTCAGCGCAATAACTCAGACGACACCCCAAAGGAATGAGAATTACACTACATTTAATGTGCAGAAGTGTTTCGTCGTTGTATTGAATCAGTGCAAATAAACTTGACTACTTTTGAGATTTCCAGCTATAATACTCACTAAATGGAGTAAGGAGCAACAGGCATAGGACCTTTAAGCACTATGTCACGGCGGATGCCGGTCAGGCTCAAACTGTATTTTTCTTTTTTCAGTATGATAATGTTCGGCTTTCATTTTTGTATATTTGTGTTTGAGTCTCGTTTTACATTTATTTGTTAAATGACAATATTTGTTGTTTTGCAAAAAAAACGTCAATAATAATCTTTATTGTCCATAACCAGCCTTAAAAGAAATAAGTCTTTCGACACAGAGAATGTCACAACGATATGGTTGTTACAGAATGGGCAATCTGACAAACGAGCACGCAATTTAGACACTTTTTCATGGATTTATCTGTGGTGTATGGTACACTTGGCAGGTTTTTCGGCTGCAGTATCTGGGATTCGTTCAGCGCCAAACTCAGGTGCTACTTTTGATTTTCTTGCCACATTTGGAAAACAGATTTCTGCCGGTATAAGCTTTTCGAAGTTAGTTCTGCGTTAGCTTCCTTCGAGGCTGTGAAATGAAAGCAGAATGTTGGAATCGTATGCCTGATTTTGTCTCCTAAAATAATTTTGTAATTATTCACCATAAAAAATTTACGGTCAAAATTCGAAAATTTGCATGCATAATTATACTATGCCGCTGCTTTGTATTAGCACGATAATTAGGATGACAGTTCTAATTTTATCGTAATAAGCCTGCGACTTTCCGAATCGTATTTGATCCGCCTTCAACGAATAGAATCAAACATAAGTCGTTAACCAAATTTTACTGCTTGTGATCAGCCCCTCCGTGCAAAACGTGTTGCTCTACAGGTAAAAAGTTGAGATAACGAGACTGAACCCTTAACAGTGTTTGTTGTTTTCTACATATTGGGACAAATATGCTATACTAGGAAAATTTTGACCCGGGGTAGCATAATCGGTGATTTTACCAAATAAAACATCAGTATTATGATGAACACCGTTAACTGGCAAAGGAACACTGCTCTCACGCCGGGTTTTTCGCATTCCAGACTTGAAGTAACTTTGACATCATTTCCACGCCCACGTTCGTTTCTCTGTTTATTTGCTTCGTCCTTTGACGATGAATCCAAGCACATAAACAGCAGATATCTTGAAAAAGCTTGTCGCACTTAAGTATGTCGATTTATAGAAAGAACCTTATTGCATTTGGCAATAATTCTATTGCCGATTCAACAGCGACCACAAGAAAGATAAACGCAAATTCGATCAGCCTTGAAAAACTGATCTCGCAGGCGTCGCCGGACGATCGTCGCACGTGGCTCAGTTTCAAGGAGTTCATGATGAAGTTCAATAAAACTTATGCAAATGAGAGTGAGGCTTCCGACCGTTACACGATTTTTAAAGTGAACATGAAAACCGCAAAGATGTTGCAAGACAAGGAGAAGGGTAATGGTCCATGTGTGCACGCTTATGGTATATACACGTCAAACTAATACCACTGTCTATGCATAGCACTTCTACTGACAATTTTACCATGTAAACTGATGCCAGAGTAGCTAGTAATTGTCGTACGTTTGTAGTGCAGTAAGTATTGTGGTGTAGTGGTTTTAGTGATTCTGAGCATTTGGCATGAGTACTAAAATGTACAGTGTTTTAGTTCGCTTTTTGTACATCTATTTAACTGCTTCAAACCCCATGCATGGATTTTTTTCATAACGTGAAAAACTGTCATGTTTAAAGTCTGGTTTTTTTTTGAAGGAACCGCCGAGTACGGCGTGACCATGTTTTCCGATATGTCGTTCGAAGAGTTTCAAAGGTACTACCTTAACGCAGCATGGAAAAATTACCGACATCCCGAAAAGACTGTGGACATAAAACTGAATGGTTCGCTTGTTTCAGACTTTGATTGGAGGTCCCGCAATGCGATAACGGAGGTAAAAAATCAGGGTAAGAACATATGCTAAATGTTTTTAAAAAGTAAAGCGGCATATATTGTATGCATTTAAACTTTTCTGAACTTCAGAGCTGTTATGCTTGAACTTGAACTTCAGAGCTTGAAAGTTTTACTGCAGTTTACACTGTATAAAGTAGTACTAT